CATAAGGAACACCCCCTCCTGGGTCTTGTTGTCCCACCTAACTTTCTCATGAGAGCTTGAGAGTTGTTATCATGTTTTGTGGCAGAATTATTTTGACTACGAAAGTCTCTGCTCTCTACTCATCTTAGCAACGAGATAATCAGAGAGCGAAGCTTCTCTGAAACAGCATGAAAAACTTTCCTACTACAGAACAGACTTTAAATCAAGATGGATGCTATTGGGACAATCTTAGGACTACATATCCCATTCTAATACACATAAAAACACAAATCATCACATGCCACCCCTGATTATCGTTAAAATTCAGAGCAGTTAATCTGATCTAATTTTAAGAAATCAAGCAAAAGTAACTGTGATGATTTGTGTTTTTATGTGTATTGGAATGGGATATGTAGTCCTAAGATTGTCCCAATAGCATCCATTTTGATTTAAAGTCTGTTCTGTAGTAGGAAAGTTTTTCATGCTGTTCAGAGAAGCTTCGCTCTCTGATTATCTCGTTGCTAAGATGAGTAGAGAGCAGAGACTTTCGTAGTCAAAATAATTCTGCCACAAAACTTGATAACAACTCTCAAGCTCTCATGAGAAAGTTAGGCAGGAGAACAAGACCCAGGAGGGGGGGTTCCTTATGAAGAATTCTGGGAAGAAGAAGGAAGTTGGTAAGGAGTTGGAAAAAGATGGAGTTGGACTGAGAAAGGTCAGACACGTGCTTTTTCCCATAATGGATTATAACTTTGCTATGGACTATTTTTTCTACCATGGACTGATGGAAGTTAACTGGATTTCATCTAGAGTAAGCCTATGAAGACCCAAGACACGTGAGATGGACTGTGTTATGCTTTTTATTAGTTAGCATAATTCCTTTTCTTTATTTTTATAGCTGGAGTGGGGGAGGGGAGTGTTCCGTTTGTCTTGATATGAAAATGTACCTACTGAACTATTTTACCATCAACTGAAACCTTTTCTAAAGCAATTCTTTTCAATAAAGCAGTAATGATTTGATCTGCATGCATTGGTTCTTGTACAGACTAGCTGAATGTCTAATTGGCCATGTGTGTTTGCTATCAAAGATTTAAAGCCAGATTATTCTGAGTATAACTCATGGATTTGTCTGTGTGTGTTGCTTTCTTAATAAAGGAGATTGGCTTTTGAGGAAGAAGTTTAGATAGGACCTTGCTGAGACCTAAGGGCTCTGCTCAGCAGTCAGAGGTTTGTCTGGATTTCGGATTCATCCTAATCTCCGGCACCCCCGTAAATCTCTTTGGAGATAAGGGGCTGCTTACAATTGGAACCTTTTTATCTTGCCTTTAACAGATTTTGGCTGGGAAAGACCTTTCTTGACTGAGGTGTATGTCAATCAATACAGCAGCAACCAATTGTTAGCTCTCTGCCTCAGATTTTGAAGAGAGATACATTTCAAGAATCCTTTTCCTGCTCTTTTTCTGTTAGACAGTCATGTTTCTGTAGTCAGACTCTGCTCTTGTAGCTATTAATCAGTATGTAGTAAGTATCCAGTCAGTCATGTTGTTAGTCAAGCACACTATGAATCAGTTAAGCTTTGTTCATGCAGCCATTCATTATTTTTCTGCAATATGCTGTTTTTATCTATTAAGAACTGTGAGTAAATAAAAATGTTTATTCTTTCTCTTACCAATGTCTCTGACAGAATTATCGAGACAGTAAGTGTCAATTGATGAGAAAATAATAAGGGATGATCTACTGAGAGGAGACTAGAAGCTAATTCTGCTCTGTAGGTACCTGAGTTTTGTTGCTTTGTCTTTGCTGCACAGCCAGAGTTTTTAACCACAAAATTTCACAATCTGCCAAGAGAGTTCTACACAGAACAAGTACTGAAATGTTGAACCTGGGGGTGATTTGTTGCTTCCTCCATCTATTTCATATGATCACATATATGTCATGAATTTGATTAGTTATCTTACTTGGAAGTTGCTGCCCTGGACTATTGTGTTTTGTTCTGCTGGGTTTTTCGCCAGTGAAGGGTTATTGAAAGAAAAAATATTTATTGGGCATGGGTCTAAGACATTGTTCTGATGTTTATCTGTCATATCCCACTATTTTGGCATCATTTTTTATTCAGAAGTGCCTGTTCTGAGCTGTTCCACTCTGGCTTGTGTTGTTGTTCAGTCATTTAGTCATGTCCGACTCTTCGTGACCCCACCACTGCCTACAGGAGTTGGGTCAAATTAATATTGGTCGCTTCGATGATACTGTCCAATCATCTCATGCTCTGTCATCCCCTTCTCCTCTTCTTTGGCTGTCAGCTTTCTTTATGGTCCAGCTCTCAATTCCATACATCACTACAGGAAAAAATGTAGCTTTTGACTATGCAGACAACTATGTCGGCAAGGTGATGTCTCTGCTTTTTACGATGCTGTTGAGGTTTGTCATCGCGTACCTCCCAAGTAGCAGGTGTCTTTTAATTTCATGGCTGCTGTTACCAGCTGCAGTGATCATGGAGTAAAATCTGTCACTGCCTCCATAACTTTCCCTTCTATTTGCCAGGACGGGATGGGGCCAGTGGCCATGATCTTAGTTTTTTTTTTTATGTTGAGCTTCAGACCATTTTTTGCACTCTCCTCTTTCACCCTCATTAAGAGGTTCTTTAATTCTTCCTCAATTTCTGCCATCAGAGTGGTATCATCTGCATATCTGAGGTTGTTGATATTTCTTCTGGCAATCTTAATTCCAGCTTGGGATTCCTCCAGTCCAGCCTTTCGCATGATGTATTCTGCATATAAGTTCAATAAGCAGGGAGACAATATACAGTCTTGTATACTGAACCAGTCAATAGTTCCATATCCAGTTCTAACTGTTGCTTCCTATCCCACATATATATTTCCCAGGAGGTAGATAAGGTTGTCAGGCACTCCCATTTTTTAAAGAACTTGCCATAGTTTGCTGTGGTCCACACAGTCAAAGGCTTTTGCGTAGTTATCCTGTACATCTTTGCACAAAATGTTCCTTTAATATCTCCAATTTTCTTGAACAGATCTCTGGTTTTTCCCATTCTATTATTTTCCTCTATTTCTTTGCACTCTTCATTTAAGAAGGTCCTCTTGTCTCTCCTTGCTATTCTTTGGAAGTCAGAATTCAATTTTCTGTAACTTTCACTATCTCCCTTGCATTTTGTTTCCCTTGTCTTCTCTGCTATTTGTAAGGCCTCGTCGGACAGCCACTTTGCTTTATTGCATTTCCTTTTCTTTGGGATGGTTTTTGTTGCTGCCTCCTGTACAATGTTACAGGCCTCAGTCTTCAGGCACTCTGTCTACCAAATCTAGTTCCTTAAATCTGTTCTTCACTTTCACTGTGTATACAAAAGGGATTTGGTTTAGAGTATACCCAACGAGCCCAGTGGTTTTTCAGTATTGCCCATCTGGTGATGTCCATGTGTAGAGTCGCCTCTTGTGTTGTTGGAAAATAGTGTTTGTGATGACCAGCTTGTTCTCTTAGCAAAACTCTATTAGCCTTTGCCCAGCTTCGTTTTGAACTCCAAGGCCAAACTTTCCTGTTATTCCTTTTATCTCTTGACTCCCTACTTTAGCATTCCAGTCCCCTATAATGTCCTATAATGACAAGAACATCTCTTTTTTTGGTGTCAGTTCTAGAAGGTGTTGTAAGTCTTCATAAAATTGGTCTATTTCAGCCTTTTCAGCATTGGTGGTTGGTGCATTAACTTGGATTGCTGTGACGTTGAAAGATCTGCATTGGATTTGTATTAAAATCATTCTATCATTTTTGAGATTGTATCCCAGTACAGCTTTTCCCACTCTTTTGTTGACTATGAGGGCTGCTCTATTTCTGCTCTATTTCTCTATTTCTTCTGCTGGAGGCATTCAGATCTGTTTGATTTGGATTCCTGTACTGAGCAGGGGACTGGACTTGATGGCCTTATAGGCCCCTTCCAACTCCATTATTTTATGACTTTTTTCCATAAAACAGTCTCTGGTTCCATCTAGTGGCCAGTTCTGATAATAATACTATTCAAGAATACTCTGATAATACACCTTGAAAATGCTGACCACATTTATTGGTATTTATTATATATATATATTCAGGTCAGAGGCTCAGCTTGTTAGCCATTCCTGTTGTCCCGCAGCAAGAGGTTCCTCCAGAAGTGAGGGCAAGTAGAACATTGTCAGTACTGGCATTCATCGTAGCTGTGTCTCACCAGGGAAGAACCTTTCCCTCCAAGTCCACAAATGTGCCACTATCTTTCTCAGAGAGCTGGGAGAGTGTATCCAGAATCTTCTGCACACCCTCCTCCACTGTCATTGGGGCCGGCATCTGGAAAAAAAGAATAGGAGACTGACACAAGAACTTCCAGAAAATACTAAATAAGAGTGATAAAGCATGAGCAGTACTGTTAGTCACAGAATCATGGACTCATAGAATAGTGAAGTTGGAAGGGGCCTATAAGGCCATTGAGTCCAACCCCCTGCTCGATGCAGGAATACCCATCAAAGGATATCTGCCAAGTGGTTGTCTAAGTTTCTCTTTAATGTCTACAGTGCTGGAGCACTCACCACCTCTCAAGGTACTGTAATTGATTCCATTGCTGTACTGCTCTATTATCTGCTGAGGGGATTGCATAATTGCACACAAAGCTTGGAGGTGATGCATTATTTGTCATTGTAATAAGGTGGAAATTTTGAACTTGCGACAATGGTGGCTGTAATTTACGACTTTTCAATGTCATGGGAATGTGTCTCTTTGTTGCTGGTTACTCCTCTGAGCATTAGAGGGGAGATCAGGCATGATACAGACAGGCTATTTGGTAAGATTGTTTATAGGTTAGAACACAGCAGAACAGACCTGCCCTTCATTCCATGCAGCAAATGTCATTTAAAAGTTATCCTCTTGACTGGAAATACTGCTTAGCATGTGTAGGCTCTGTGGTTTTGGTAGGCACTAAGCTGAACTGTTAAGGCATGTGAAGCAAAGTGAGACTAGCTGTCAGAAAGTCATTGGCACCTGCTAAGGCCAACTTAGGTAAACAGGGAGGTGATTGGTCTGGCTGAATGTCAGAATTAATTGCTGAGATATGTGGATTACAAAAAAGGCAACCAAAATATATTCTATATGAATCTCTAGAGTTTATGACTGTCAGGCAGTGGCTTAACAGTATTTTAGGAGAATTTATTCTAAGTACTGTATGACCCCTATATCCACAGGATCAGCATCTGTGATTTCACTCACCCACAGTCTGTAAATATTAAAAATATTAAAAGAAAAAAACCAGATATATGATGTAGTAAGCCAAACTGGCCAGTAGAGGGAGCCATACGCCACACTATTATCCATGGTTTTGGCATCTGCTGAGGGGATTTGGAATTGATCCCTCACAGACATGGGAGTCCTACTGTATCTCGTTTTCAGAGCTATATGGCCTCTGAACATGAAACCTACATTTAGAAGGACCTCCTGTAATTTCTTCCAGTCAACTTGGAACCCACCATAGAGGTAAGTTTTAATTCTTGTAAATCAGTTCAAGAGGAATTCTTAATTTCTCTTGAAGTGACTCAAGAAGTACCAGGCAGTAGATGAACTTCTATGAGAGGTTAGCTTGTCCACTAAGTCAGACTTCATAAGAATGACTCTCTATAGAATTTTAGCCTGGTCTGGGCTAGTCCCTTCACAGATTGCTGCCTTAACATGGTGAAGGGTCTTGAGTTATTCAGAGAAGCTATAGGTTATGCCAAGCAGGGCCACCGAAGATGGGAAGGTCATAGTTCTGACTAAATGTGATCCACCTGGAGCAGGAACTGGCATGCCACTCCAGTATCTTTGCCAAGAAAGCCCCATGAACAGAAACAAAAGGCTAAATGATATGATGCTGGAAGATCAACCCCTCAGGTCGGAAGGCATCCAACATGCTACTGAGGAAGAGCGGAGGACAAAGAAAAGTAGCTCTAGTGCTAATGAAATGATTGGGTCAGAGCCAAAAGGACCCTCAGCTGTGGACACGCCTGGAAGTGAAAGGAAAGTCTGATGCTGCAAATAAAAATACTGCATAGGGACCTAGAATTTAAGATCTATGAACCTTGGTAAACTGGAAGTGGTCAAACAGGAGATGGCAAGAATAAACATTGACATCCTGAGTGTCAGTGAACTAAAATGGACGGGAATTGGTGAATTCAATTTGGACAATTATCATATCTACTATTATGGGCAAGAACCCGTAGAAGAAATGGAGTAGCCCTCATAGTCAACAAAAGAGTGAGAAAAGCTGTACTGGGATACAATCTCAAAAATGATAGAATGATTTCAATACAAATCCAAGGCAATTCTACGAAGACTTACAACACCTTCTAGAACTGAAACCAAAGAAAGATGTTCTTATTATAGAGGATTGAAATGCTAAAGTAGGGATTCAAGAGATAAAAGTAACAACAGGGACATTTTGCCTTGGAGTTCAAAACGAAGCAGGGCAAAGGCTAATAGAGTTTTGTCAAGAGAACAAGCTGGTCATCACAAACACTCTTTTCCAACAACACGAGGTGACTCTACACATGGACATCACCAGATGGGCAATACCAAAATCAGATTGATTATATTCTCTGCAGCCAAAGATGGAGAAGCTCTATACAGTCAGCAAAAACATGCCCTAGAGCTGATTGTGGCACTGATCATTAGCTTCTTATAGCAAAATTCAAGCTTAAACGGAAGAAAGTAGGAAAAACCACTGGGCTAGTCAGGTATAATCTAAATCAAATCCCTTATGAATAAACAGAGGAAGTGAAGAACAGATTTAAGGAACTAGATTTGGTCAACAAGAGTGCCTGAAGAACTATGGATGGAGGCCTGTAACACTGTACAGATGGCAGCAACAAAAACCATCCCAAAGAAAAGGAAATGCAAGAAAGCAAAGTGGCTGTCCAACGAGGCCTTACAAATAGCAGAGAAGATAAGGGAAACAAAATGCAAGGGAGATAGTGAAAGGTACAGAAAATTGAATGCTGACTTCCAAAGAACAGCAAGGAGAGACAAGAAGACCTTCTTAAATGAACAGTGCAAAGATATGGAGGAAAATAATAGAAAGGGAAAAAACAGAGATCTGTTCAACAAAATTGGAGATATTAAAGGGATATTTTGTGCAAAGATGAACAGAATAAAGGACAAAAATGGGAGGGACCTAACAGAAGCAGAAGACATCAATAAGAGGTGGCAAGAATACACAGTGGAATTATACCAGAAAGATCTGGATGTCCCAGACAACCCAGATAGTGTGGTTGCTGACCTTGAGCCAGACATTCTGGAGAGTAAAGTCAAGTGGGCCTTAGAAAGCATGGCTAACAACAAGGCCAGTGGAGGTGATGGCATACTATCTAAAAGACGATGCTGTTAAGGTGCTATACTCAATATGCCAGCAAGTTTGGAAAACTCAGCAGTGGCCAGAGGATTGGAAAAGGTCAGTCTACATCCCAATCCCAAAGAAGCGCAGCGCCAAAGAATGCTCCAACGACCGTACAATTGCACTCATTTCACACACTAGCAAAGTTATGCTCAAAATCCTCCAAGGTAGGCTTCAGCAGTATGTGGACCAAGAACTCCGAGAAGTGCAAGCTGGATTTCAAAGGGGCAGAGGAACTAGAGATCAAATTGCTAACATGGGCTGGATTATGGAGAAAGCCAGAGAACTTCAGAAAAACATCTACTTCTGCTTCATTGACTATGTAAAAGCCTTTGACTGTGTGAACCACAGCAAACTATGGCATGTTCTTAAAGAAATGGGAGTGTCTGACCACCTTATCTATCTCTGAGAAACCTATACATGGGACAGGAAGTAACAGTTAGAACTGGATATGGAACAACTGATTGGTACAAAATGGGGAAAGGAATACGACAAGGTTGTATATTGTCTCCCTACTTATTTTATTTTAGTTTATTTATTAAATTTATACCCTGCCCATCTAGACACAAGTCTACTCTGGGCGGCTAACAATAAAAATAGAATAAAAACAGTATAATAAAATAAAAAGCAACCATAGTAATATGGTTCAAGATGGAGGGGAAATAAAAATAATCAAGTGATGACAGGAGGAAAAGCCTGCCTAAAGAGTCAGGTCTTAAGTTGGCTTTTAAAAACACCCAGTGAGGGAGCCAGACAAATCTCTGAGGGCAGACTGTTCCAAAGGTGAGGGGCCACTGCCGAGAAGGCCCGATTTCTTGTTCTTTCTCTCTGGGCCTCCCTTGGCATTAGGCCCCTCAGCTGCCCTTCCTGGCTAGAGCAAGTGGTTTGGATAGATCTAGAGGCGTTCCGCGAGATATCAAGGTCCTAAACCGTTTGGGGTTTTATATGTAATCATTAACACTTTTAATTCAATGCGGAAATGAACGGGCAGCCAGTGCAAGGCAGCCAGCGTGGGGGAAATATGCTGATATTTTCTCGTACCACTGAGAGGTATGGCCACCGCATTCTGCACCATTTGAAGCTTCCGCATCAATCTCAAAGGTAGCCCTAATCTCGAGATTACAAGTACATGGACCAAAGTGGTGAGCACCCCAATATCAAGATAGGGATGCAGCTAGGCAATCTGCCACAGATGGAAATAGGCGGAGCGGACCACTGACGTCACCTGGGTTTCCATGGTGAGCGCCGGATCCAGATGGACCCCTAAGCTGCGAACCTCACTCTTCGCAGTGAGATTCACTGTGCTGAAGGGGTGGAATGGCATCCACTGTGGTTGGAAAAAATGAGATGTAGAGGTGGGTGTCATCAGCGTACTGATGGCATGACACCCCACATCCCCAGTGGCCTCATGTAGATATTAAACAACATTGGGGAGAAATTGAGCCCTGCTGAACCCCACAACTGAGGCTCCACGGGGCCGAAACACTCCCTCCAAGCTGTACTCTCTGAGGACAGTCCTCCAAGAAGGAATGGAGACAGGCAAGTGCCAGACCACCATTTCCCAGCTTGGAGAGCCTCCCCAGGAGGATACCATGGTCAATGGTATTGAAGGAGGTTGAGATATCAAGGAGGACCAACAAAGACATTTTACCCCATCAGCCTCCCTCAGCAGGTCAGCAAACAGGGCGACCAATGCCATTTCCATACTGTGGCATGTCTTGAAGCCCAACTGGAATGGATCCAGGGCATTGGTTTCATCCAAAAGAGCCTGGAGCTGATCAGCCACCACCCTCTCTACCACTTTGCTAAGGAAAGAAACATTGGCAACAGGTCTATAATTGCCAATATTGTCTGCCACTAAACTTGGTTTCTTCCTTATGGCTGTAATGAGTGTCTCCTTGAGGGCAGAGGGAAACCTGCCCTCAAGGAAAGATCCATTAATTATTGCTGTGGCCTATTCGGTTGCTGTAGGCCTGGCTGCTTTGATTAGCCAGGCCAGGCAAGGGTCAAGGGAGGAGGTGGTGGCATGACAACGGTCAAGCACTTTGTCCACCATATCTGGCATCACAGGCTGAAAGAGATCGAGTCTCATCGGGCAAGGTGGAGCACTGGATGTCTCTGCTCGATCTACTGTGTTCAAAAAAGGAGAGAGATCCGGGTGGATGGCCTCCACTTTAGATTTTTAAAATGCTGCAAATTGGTCAGGTGAAATATTAGTAGGAGGCCCATCACTTCAACCAATTCCGGATAGATCGCAAACTATACGGAAAAGTTCCGCCTGCTGATTTGAACCTTCGCTTATCTGGACAGCGAAGTGAGATCAACTGGCAGCTCTCACCTTAGTAAGGTAGTGGTTAGTTGTGATCCTGACAACTTTCCGATTATATTCCATCGGGTTCCGTCTCCAATTGCACTCTAGCCTTCTCCTGTTTTGCTTCATAGCTCGCAGCTCTTGGTTAAACCACGACGCTGGCCGAGCTCTGCAACGGAGAGGACATTTAGGAGCGATTGTGTCAACAGCCCTGGTGGCAGAAGCAAGCCAGCCATCAACCAGAGCCTCGACAAGAGTGCCAGTCAGCTGGAATCCCTCTCATGGAATCCTGGAATCCTATAGGATCCAGTAGCCTTCAAGGGCAGACCATTAAAATAGGTCGTTGTTCCCTGCAGGGAGGGAGAGCCACTGAGAGGTTACATTTTATTAGGTGGTGATCCGCCCATGACAAGGGCACTGACACAAGGTCAGGTACCATCAGACCACACTCACTCCGCTCAGTGGAGAACACCAGGTCTAGCGAGTGACCACCCATGTGGATGTGGATGTTAACATGTTGAGACATGTCCAAGGAAGCCATGGTTTCCAAGAACTCATGAGCCAGACCAGAAATCTCCACCTCCGCACAGATGTTGAAATCACCCAAGACCAGAAGCCTCGGGGATTCCAACAGTGCCACGGAGACAAAGTCTGCAAGGAGAACAAACCTATCAGTTCTTAAGGAAATGACTGGGTCGTGGGGAGCGTGGTAACCCAGCAAGATCCCAATACCATCCCTGGCCCCAATTGACATGTGGAGGGCCTCCAGACCTGTCTTCACCACTGCAGAGTGCCTAAAAACCTCCAGAGTGTTTCTATAAACAATGGCTACTCCCCCCTTCCAGTCTACCCTAGTGCTGGACTGCATAACCGGGAGGACAGGTCAAGGGAACCTCCCTTCCCGTCCCATCCAAGTTTCGGTTCTGCATGCCAGGTCTGCATCCTCCTCCAGAATAAGGTCTTGAATAATCTGGGATTTGTTGGATGCAGACCTGGCATTCAAGAGCACCAGATTTAGAGTGGAGGGATGGCTGATCTGACTACCTCAAGACTGACGGTTGGTCACAGTGCCAGAACAGTGAACAGCCTTCAAACGTCTGTTCACCATTCTTCTGAAATGAGTAGGAACTGTGCCATCACCATACCTCCCTCTACCCATAATCACTCAGATGTTCAAAGGACCCCCACTGGGGGGCAAGCCTTCCACTCCATGTCAAACAAAAGAAAAGAAAAAGAAAAAACCAAAAATATGCCAGATTAATAAAAGTAAACAATACAGTTATAACAAGGTTAAGAAAATTAATCCAAAACATAACATAAATATATACATTTAAATTAAACAATAATCAAATTAAACAACTTAAAAATTAAAACTTTAAAAAGAAAGGAAATACAAACAGGAAACCACTCCCCTCAGGACTACCCTCTTATATATAACTTATAACCACCATATATTTAACTTATATGCAGAATACATCATGCGAAAGGCTGGACTGGAGGAATCCCAAACCGGAATTAAGATTGCCGAAAGAAATATCAACAACCTCCGATATGCAGATGATACCACTCTGATGGCAGAAAATGAGGAGGAATTAAAGAACATCTTAATGAGGGTGAAAGAGGAGAGCGCCAAAAATGGTCTGAAGCTCAACATAAAAAAAAAAAA